AGCATAAGCTTCTACAGGGAGCCCAGCAACTTACTGGCTATATGACCTCAGGCCGGTTTCTTCTCTTCTCTGAGCATGAATTTTCTCATCTGTCAGATGCAGAGTATGATTTTATGAACCAAGGGAGATAAAATATGTGCAGCTGCTCTGCAAATCATAACCTTCCTTACGAGTGAAAGTGATTCATTTCTTTCCTGGGTTAGAAAAATAAAAGGTTCAGTAGATTTTGGACACGCAGCCAGGGGATCCTGGCGTGAAACAGGGATCCGCTGCTAACTGTGCCGGATGTGGGCCCTTCCCCTCTCGGGACCTCAGCTTTCTGTCTATGAAATGAAGAGACAGAAGTACCCCAGTGGGTTCCAGGCCTGGCTGTGCATCGCAATCCCGATTGTGGTCAAGTAAAACCAAAGATGCTGGATGCTGCCCTCGGTCTGTCATATCATCATGGCCTGGGTGATGCCCCGCAGCTTTACTTATAGCCCGCTCACCAGGTGATTTGGACACCCCCCCTGATTGGAGGGCGGGAGGGGCCTTCCAGTCTGAAGCCTGATGGAGGGAAGTCAGAGCAGGATTTGGGCTTTGGTGAGGGAAGGTGGTCACCCCAGGGGCTGGCAAGAGCTCTGTGAGGCCTGGGCTCAGGGCCATTGAAGACCTTCTGGTCCAAACTCTGATTTCAGAGACGGCTCAGAGGAAATAAGTGATGGGCTCACTGTGCCAAACCGGGGAGCACAGTCCAATTCTCTGGGTCCCCAGTCAGGGACACTTCCACTACACTCCAGCTTCCCCAACCAAAAGGATGTGTGTTTTGACCAATATATTTTGTACTTGAGCTCAAAGTTACAAACAGTGAAAAAAATGTACAGATAGTATGAGTATACAGTTCCATGAGGTTTAACAAATGTATACACCTGGGAAAGCAGCACCCCAATCAAGATACAGAAATTGCTTCATCCCAGAAAGGTCCCTTGTGCTCCCATTTTTTTAAAAAAAGTTCTCACCAAAGGATATTTTTATTGATATTAGAGAGAAAGGGGAGAAAGAGAGGAAAAAACCATTGATGTGAGAGAGAAACATCAATCAGTTGCCTTCCGGGGATTGAACCTACATCCATTTGGTATACGGGACAATGCTTTAACCAACTGAGCCACCCAGCCAGGGCTGTCCCAAAGCTTTTTATCCCCTTATCTACTAATGGGCACTTGGGCTGCTTCACTAGCGTGGCTATTGTAAATAACACTGCACTAAGCATAGGGGTGCATGTATTCCTTTGGATTCGTGTTTCAGGTTTCTTAGGATATATTCCCAGAAGTGGAATTGCTAGGTCATAAGACAGTTCCATTTTTTATTTTTTGTGGAAACTCCGTACTGCTATTCACAGTGGCTGCACCAGTCTGCATTCCCACCAACAGAGCACGAGGGTTCCTTTTTCTCCACATCCTCTCCAGCACTTGTTCGTTGATTTATTGATGATGGCCATTCTGATAGGTGTGAGGTGATATTTCATTGTGCTTTAATTTGCATCTCTCTGATGATTAGTGACATTGAACATCTTTTCATATGTCTGACCATCTGTTTCTCCTTTTGGAAAGGTCCTTTGCCCATTTTTTTAACTGGATTGTTTGTTTTTTGGTGTTGAGTTGTTTAAGTTGTGTGTGTGTGTGTGTGTGTGTGTGTGTGTGTGTGTGTGTGTTTAAGGATCCGGGGTTTAATCATGGTCCACAGGTTCCAGAAGCGAACAGAGAGCGAAGTAGAGGCAAAAGCCACGTCAGTACCTTAGCACGTTATGGACTGCACTCAGGGAGGGATCTGTCCCAGGAAAGTCTGTGCGTCCTGCAGGAGAGAAAGAAGCAGCAGGGCTGCCTACAGGGCAGTCTCGGGGTCCCCAGGGGTGCGTCTCCTCGAGCTGTTGGCCGCCTTCCATCCGCTTCCTGGGGTGCAGCTGGGTGCTGGGCGCTGGTGTGGAAGGCTGGGGCTCAGCGCAGCGCCAGGAGCCCGGTCCCTCTGTCCCCACTGGGGCTGGCGCCTCCTGGCTGGTTCAGGGGCCACAGGGATGTGCGCCGGCGCCTGAGCCTCCCCTCGAGGGGACTGCGGGTCCCGGCCGCGTTCCTGGCCCCTCTCAGCTCCCGGACCCCCGCATCCCAGGGGCCAGGCGGGGGTCGCAGGAGGGGCGGCGCAGCGCAGGGAAGTTGTCTATAGCCCAGGCCCAGGCCTGCGCGCGGTTCAGGCCCGGTGACAGGGTGGGCTCCAGGCACACACACCGCCAACAGGACGTGTCTCCCAAGGCAGATGGATGCGCTTTCATGGCTGCAGCCTTCTGAGCAGCGGAGAGGGAGGTAGGTGCAGGGGAGGAGGGCATCGAGTTGTATAAGTTCTTTATAAATTTTGGATATTAATCCCTTAACAGATGTACCATTGACAAATATGTTCTCCCATTTAGTGGGTTGTCTTTTCATTTTTTTGATGGTTTTCTTTGCTGCGCAACAACTTTTTAGTTTGATGTCGTCCCATTTGTATATTTTTTGTTTGTTTCCCTTGCCCAAGTTGATATATCAGAAAAAATATGGCTACAAGAAATGACCAAGTTTTTACTGCCTATCTTTTCTTCTAGAAATTTTATGGTTTCAAGTCTAACATTTAACTCTTTAATCCATTTTGAATTTATTCTTGGATATGGTGTAAGAAAGTGATCTAGTTTTATTTTCTTGCACGTATCTGTCCAATTTTCCCAGTACCATTTATTGAATAGACTATCTTTGCCCCATTGTATATTGTTGCCTCTTTTGTCAAATATTAATTGACCATAAAGGCACGGGTTTATTTCTGGGCTGAGAACTGGCTTTAAATACGGAGTCTTTCAATCTATAAATATTATTTATCTATTCATTTATTTGGGTCTTTATACATGAGACTACTACAAATGCTATTTTTGTTGTACTTTCCAATTGTGTTTTGCCAGTGTATAGAAATACAATTGATTTTTTTTAGAATTTAACAGCGTTATGGAGATATAATTTACATTCCATAAAAATCACCCATTTTAAGTCTGTAGTTCAATGTGTTTTTAAGTGAATTGTTGCAGTTGTGAAACTAACACCGTAATTCATTTTTAGAATATTTCCGTCACTTCAAAAAGTTCTCTTGTGCCTGTTTGCAGTCAACCCCCACTTCCAACCCGGCTTCAGCCAGCCACCGATTTCCTTTCTGTCTCTGTGGTTTTACCTTTCCAGAAATGTCACATAAGAAGAATCATATATCTAGTCTTATATGTCTGGCTTCTTTAACCTAGCATAATATTTTTTTAAAATATATTTTATTGATTTTTTACAGAGAGGAAGGGAGAGAGATAGAAAGTTAGAAACATCAATGAGAGAGAAACATTGATCAGCCGCCTCCTTCACATCCCCCACAGGGGAAGTGCCCGCAACCCAGGCACATACCCTTGACCGGAATCGAACCCGGGACCCTTCAGTCCGCAGGCCGACACTCCATCCACTGAGCCAAACCGGTTTCGGCAACCTAGCATAATATTTTTAAGGCTCGTCCATATTATTGCAATAGCTTGTTTCCTTCTTTATTGCTGAATAATATTCTATTGTATGGCTCTTCTACATTTTGTTTTCTGGTCACCATTTTTTAAAATATATATATATACAAACTGTTTGATGGACATTTGGATGGTTTTCAATTTGGGGCTATTATGAATGTTGCTGCTATGAACATGCGTGTACAAGTTTTTGTGTGGACATGTGTTTTCATTTCTCTTGGGTGTATGCCTCAGAGTGGAATTGCTGGGTTATAACTGTGTTTAACTGTTTTAGGAACTGCCAGATTGTTTTCCTAAGTAGCTGCACCATTTTACATTTCCACCAATAGTGTATGAAGATGCTTATTTCTTCACATCCTTGTTCACACTTGTTATTATCTGACTTTCTGATTCTATCAGTCCTGGGGGATGTAAAGTACTATGGTGTCACATACTACTGATGACTTTCACTTTCCCTGATGATTGATGATGATGATAAGCACATTTTCACATGTTTATTGACCATTTGTATATTTTCTTTAGAGATGTACCTAATTTTACATCCTTTATCCATGTTTTTAATTGAGGTCAAATTCACATAAAATTAACCATGTTCAAGTATTCAATTAAATGGCAGTTAGTAGATTTGCAGTGTTGTGCAACCATCTCCTCTATTTAGTTTCAAAATATTTTTATCATCCCAAAAGAAGACCCCATACCCATTAAGCAGCCGCTCCCCATTCCCCGGGCCCCAGGCCCTGGCAATCACTAATGTGCTTTCTGTCTGTCTGGATTACCTATTCCGGAATTTCATACAAATGGAATCATACAATAGGTGGCCTTTTGTGTCTGGCTTCTTCTACTTGGTATAATGTTTTTAAGATTCCCCCATGGTGTAGCATGTATCAGTTCCTGATTCCTTTTTATGACTGAATAATAGTCCATTGTATGGATATATTCTATATTTGTTGATAGCATTCATAAGACATTCGAAACTTGGGCTATTTCCACCACCTGACTATTGTGAATAGTGTTGCTATAAACACTCATGTATAAATAATAAAAAGATTGTTTTAGCTATTCTGGGTCCCTTCATCGCTTGTATTTCCATAAATTTTAGAATCAGCTGTCAATTTTAGAATCAATTGTCAATTTCTGCAAAGAAATTAGCCGTGATTTTAATCACGTTGACTCTGTAGATCAATATGGGAGGTCTTATTAACATCTTAACAATATTAAGTCATCTAAGAACATGAACTGCCTGTCCATTTATTTCGGTCTTCAGTTCCTTTCAATAAGGTTTTGTCATTTTCAAAGTGTGCAGTTTGTACTGGAAAGGTGCTGTGAGGCAGTGTGCCGGAGAGCTGTGTCTCACTGTAAAGTGCAGTGCACAGGTAAGGGAGAGGTCACAAGAATAAGGTTACTGAGCAGCTCTTCTTACCCACCATCCATCTTTCCTCTCCTGTCTCCCTCCCAGAGCACCTGAAGAAGCCGCTTGAAGACTACATGGCCCATTTCCCCAGCGTGAGGATTCTCCGAACCAAGAAACGGGAAGGGCTGATAAGGACCCGGATGCTGGGGGCCTCAGCGGCAATTGGGGATGTCATCACATTCTTGGACTCACACTGTGAAGCCAATGTCAATTGGCTCCCCCCCTTGCTCGGTAAGGGACTCTCCCGAGACAAGGTAGACGACGTGGAAGGAGCCAGCCGCCACTGACCCCAGACACAAAGGTTCCCTTGCCTGCTGAGGTACACCCAGCATGCTGCCGGGTGCACTCAGAAGTTCAGGAGTGCTCAAAGGGACCTGAGCAACCCATTCGGTCCTGTTCCTTCATTTTCCGGAGAAAGGAGCTGAGACTCAGAGAGAGGGGAAGTGACTTGTCCAAACTCATACAGCACATTAGTTTCTAGTGACAAGATTGCTCCCCCAGATTACTTCAAGGTTTCTTAGAAAGCAAGCCAAGGCTGTCTACCATTAAGAACCAAACTGAGAGCAGTTACTATTCACTGCATGGTCTCTAACTCTCACAAAACTATGCCAGGTCAGACGTATCCCTTTTTTATAGTAGAAGAAACTGAAGTTCAGAGATATTGAATGTTTCACTTATTCCCTTGGGCCATAAGTGTCAAAGTCACCATCTGTCTGGCTCCAAAGTCTGTCTTTCATGATTCCACATTGCCTCCCTAAATTCAGTCCTCTTTGGAGAGTTTATGACAGCTACGAGGGAAGGACTATAGACGCAGGGCAGCGTGCTGCAGGAGTCGTCCACCATAGCTTGGAGGACAGAAGGGAGACACGAGGATCGGATGCCGGTGTCTCCTTGCTGGTTGGAGAACCAGGCCTGCATCCCCAGGTCTCCGCTTTGATAAAGGCAGTGCGCCGGTGCGGACAGTTGGACATTGAAGAGGAAATGTCCCACTGGGCCTGGGAGTCAGGAGAGGGATGGTGATGGAGGCAGATTGGGGGAGAGCTACCAATCCAGAGAGCAAGCGAACCCCTCAGAAGTGGAGGGTTATGCTCTCCGTAACAGAAAGCTTAGGGAGCAAAGAGGACTGGAGTTTAGGGTGAACGTGAGTGCGCCTCAGAATCACCTGGAAGACTTGTTAAAACGGAGTCCCGGGACCCACCCCAAGGTTCCGATTCGGGGGGTCCAGGGTGGGGCCTGAGAAGCTGTATTTCTAACCAGCGCCCAGGTGGTGCCAGGGCTGCTGTCCAGGGACCGCGCTTTGAGGAGCACTGGTTAGGCCACCGTTCAAAGGAGAGGACAGAACCCAAAACCCACACAGCTGAGTGGGATAACCAGCGTGCTGGGTCCCCACACAGATCAGCATGGACCTTCGTGTTAGATTATGCACTTGTGTGTGGTTAGGAAAAGGATATAACCCAGATTCTCTGGTAAACAGTTGATTTCATTAAACCAAGAGGTCTGCCTCTGCCTCTCATGACTGAAAGAGAACAAAAAACAAAAATGCCTCACCATAAATCGCCTAATTGATAGTCCTGAAGGGACAACCCATTTTTTGGGTCATTCGGTGACTCATAAAGAGAATGGAGTGGTGGGGCAGGAAGCCGAACTGGTCGTCTAAATAGCCCTTAACTCTGTTTCTATGGAAATACATGAAGGTAATTTTCATAATCTGCCGACATACACGGAAGAAGCATCCCCCCTCTTTTTTTCTTTCCTTTTTGCAATAGAAATGTGAACCACTGGTGTAGATTTAAAAGTCTGCCCTGCTAATATGATCAGCAGACAGAGCCCATTATGGCTTTTGTCTCTGAAACCATTTACACCTCTGAGCACAGCTCAGTCTACCTTCTTTGGAGAGCGAGCATTTCTGAGTGAGAAGGAATCAGCACCCCAAAGGAAAACTGCTGTTGATCATCATTTCCTCCATCATTATCATCATCATCATCATCATCACCATCATCGTCTCATGGCTCTGCTAGTCTCCTAGCTTTCTAGGCCACATCCCCATTTGAATTTGATGATTCCGTGGTAGAACAGGCAGGCCAGGCATTATTATCAGCATCTTGCAAATGAGAAACCTCAGGGGCAGAGAGAACGAGGGAGACGCTCAGCCTTCCAGCGCCTGCTTCTGAGCTTGTCAGCAACCCTGGTCAGAGACGGCGTCGGGAGTACTGATCACGTGCTAGGCGCCTTGCCTCATTGTCTCTCAGTCGTCAGAGACCCCATGAGATAGGCGCTGTCTTCCTCCATTTTGTCGGCAAGGAAACCGAGACTCCGAGGCATCGGATGACCTTTCCCAAGGTTATACCGCTAGTAGGTGACAAAAGCAGGATTCGAACCTGGGCATCTGTCCCCAAGTGAGCCCAGCACTGAACACTGCTGCGCTGATGCAGCCCCTTGACCTCTTACCTCTCACAGTCAGCCAGTGCCCAGCAGAGCTCAAACCCTCCCCTGAAGTGAGATCCCCTGAATGGCCATGAATAGTGAGGAAGGGAGGCCTGCTCTAGCTCCTTCCCTGGAGAAGGGTGTTCTGCTTCGTTAAGAATCCCCAGGAAGCCTGTCACAAGGTTGCTCCATCTCCACCCTCAGAGATTCCACTTCAGTAGGTGGGGGAGGGGTAAACACACCCCAGGTGGCAGATGCCCACCTACTCTCACCTCACCACACTCCCCATTCCAAGTCTTGAATTTGACTCCTGGCCCAAAGCTGGGACACACACACACACACACACACACACACACACACACACCCGCACCGCCCACTTGCCTCTCGCTGGGAGATATTTACCCCAGCAGCTCACTGGCACCCCCGGAGGAGAATGCTGGGTCTTGGAGATGTTAGTTATGTAGCTGGACCAGGTCCCCCCCGTCTTAGGCGTCAGGACTGGGATAGGAGCCCTGGTCCATCTTTTTTAAAGCTTGCTCCCTCCCTTCTCCAGGATTCTCAAGCTCAAGTGTTCAGATAATTCACCCAGGGAACACATTAAAAACTCGAATAAGCTGCAGAACAGGGTCAACCACTTAGCTGCTCCCCGATCCTGCCTCCCTAATGGGCATCTCTCGGCTTCTTCAGACCGCATCGCTCGGAACCGCAAGACCATCGTGTGCCCGATGATTGACGTGATTGACCACGATGACTTCCGGTATGAGACCCAGGCGGGGGATGCCATGCGGGGCGCCTTTGACTGGGAAATGTACTACAAGCGGATCCCAATCCCTCCGGAACTGCAGAAGGCTGACCCCAGTGACCCATTTGAGTAAGTATGAGTCACCCGGCTGGTCCCAGTAGCTAAGCTGACCCGGTGACCCCCTCCCCAACACACACAACTCAGGATCGCCAGCTCCCCCAAAAGTCCAGTGCAGAGGGGCCAGGGCAGAGGTCCCCAACCAGAAGCACAGTCCATCCCAGCGTGTCAGAGCCTCAGCTCATGGACCACCAAGCTGGTCACCTCGCCCTTGCCCGCCTCTGCGCAGTTTGCTGCCATTGCCAACGGGGGCTGAGCAGAGTTGCGCATGCTCCCTCCCTCAAGCCTCCGGTTGTAATTATCATCGTCATCACCACTTACTGAACACTTTCTGAGTGCCAGGCACCGCGTGCTGAGCACATCACAACCTGATCGTCTTTAACCCTCTCAACTTTTATTTAAATTAGTATCCATGTTTTCCAATGTGGACACCAGGGTTACAATAAGTTACCTAGGTCATCCAGCAATGAAGTGGCAAAGGCGCAGAGGTGGGCTTCCCTGAGGAAATGGAGGGGGCCGGGGCGATGGAGCTGCGTGAGCAGAGCCCCAGTGCCTCTTCAGCAGGTCAGACGTTTGTTCTTTTCCTGACCTATGTCCTCAACATGGGCCGGCACTGCTAGCAGAGTCGGAGTCAGAGAGGCGGTGACACCTGCCAAGATGACACATGGTAGAGGCTGAGTCAGAACGGGCTGCTCCAGGAAATGGAGTTTTCAAGGTAACCAGAACCCCCTGTATGGTTTGACCCTTTGCCATGAGCCAATTCATAAGCTCTAAGATTTGAAAGGTGCATAGGGTGGGGCTTGGCCCGTTCACCCTCCTGACTGTGAGATGAGGAAAGGGCACATTCAGGTCATGCAATGGGTTTGTAGCAGAGGCCCAGCCAGTTTCCTCTGAGGCCTCAGTCTCCTCATCTGGATATTGAAGGGTTGGCCCAACCCCAGAGCAGTAGCTCTCAACCCTGGGTGCCTATTGGCACCATGTGCAAGTCACCCTCACCCCTCACCCCTCACCCCCAACCAATTACTCCAGAGTCTGGGGGTGAAATCTGGACATCATTTTTGTTTATTTGTTTGTTTGTTGTTTGTTAATTCTCACCCAAGGATATTTTTTTCATTGATTTTTAGAGAGAGTGGAAGAGAGGGAGGGAAGGAGGGAGAGAGAGAGAAACATTGGAACAAGAGAGACATCAACTGGTTGCCTCCTGCATGAGCCCCAACTGGAGCCAGGGATCAAACCTGGGTTTGTGCCCTTGACCAGGAATTGAACCTGTGACCCTTTGGTGCTCAGGCCAACACTCTAACCACTGAGCAACAGTCGCCAGGGCTGGACATCATTTTTTGAAGATCCCAGGTGATACTGATGTGTGGCCAAGGTTGAGAGCCCTTCCTGAGGGGCTCTCCCTCCATTGTGTCCTCTGATTCCTTCCAGAAGTCTCTCCTCTATATTGCACTTGGACAAAACCCAGGGGAGAGGCCGCAAGAGAAATCCCGGTCATTTTCTGCACACCTCCCCATGGTGCCAGCAGACGGGCAACCTGTAGGCACAGCGTGGTGTAACGATGTTTGAAAAACTCGGGCTTCGGTGGCACACCCCGGTGTGAATTGCGGCTCATCCACTTACTCCCTGCATGCCCTTGTGCAGAGTATATAGCCTTTCTGAATTTCAAATTCCTCCATCTGAAAAGGAGCCTAGTGATAGGGCTTTGTGAGAGCTGGAGATAATGTCGGTCAAGTGCACGGCAGACACTAGACACTCAGACTTGTTGTTGTTATTGCAGAAAATAGGTCGGGCTAAAGGAGAGGCTCCCTCTGGAGTCACAGCCTCGAGCATCCACACACCTTAAGGCCAATCGCCTACCTGTTGTGAGGCCTCCCCATGAGGCAGCTCCTTAGCCAGGCCCCTGGCTGCCGGCCAGGCTGGTTTTTGAGTGCAGAGCCTTGAGTTTGATGTCTCATGAATAAACCCCTCCGAGCAGCGTATTTAAGAACCCAGCCTGAAAACCCAGACCCACAATCTTCAGAAGACAGGAGAGAGTTGATACCATCGCCACCTTATCTTCTTATAGTCCGAGGTACTTTCAGAAATACACTAGCAAGGTGAGCTAGGAAAGTGTCGCTGTAGGTCTGCTGTGTAAACGGGACGCAGCCTCGTTGAGGTTAAAATCAGCACCGTCCAGCAGAAATATGCAAGCCACATATGTACTTTCAGATCTCCTAGTAGCCACGTAGAAAAGGCAAAGAGAAGCAGGTAAAATCCATTTTGGTAATATATTTTAGCTAAGCTGAGAGTTTTGTGTGCTGTACGCTTGCAGCACATCTCAATCCAGACCAGCCACATATCAGTGCCCCATACCGGGCAGCACAGGGCCCAGTGGTTAAATCCCTCTTTGCAGACACACCGCAGGCAAAGGAGAGCCCAGGGTGCAGTGAGGGTTTCCCATCGTTTCACTCAATTGCCCCTTCTCGACTGCCCCTCCCTGACAGGAGGTGGTGTGCTGTGGCCATGAAGGGTGTGGGCTGTGGCCGTTTAGAGGGTTAAATCCTGCTTAGTGGCTGTGAAGCCTTGAGCAAGTTACTCTGTACCCTGGTTTCTACCTGCATAAAATAGGATTGTAATGATGAGGCCTACCTCCTGGGGTCTACGTGAGGAGTGAGGTTGTTTCATTGCTAAATTAGTTCATTACAGCACCTGGGATATTCAAGCCCTTGGTCATAGTCAAGAGGACCCCTTTTATTTCTGTGTGTTTTTTCGTTGAGATTTTAGAGAGGGGAAGGGAGAGAGAAACATCTGCACTCCCAGAGGCCCTTGTGACCCCACCTGTATTCGGGGTCCTCTGTCCGCCACACTGGCATCCCTGGACCCGTCTGGCTGCTTTTCCTCCAGACGCCTCCAGCACCTGCTTCCAGCCGGCACTCGGCGAGCGAACTGAGGAGCGTGGGCGAGTGGCATTCACCTTAGCCCCGTGTGACAAAGATCAGAGGCTGCGGCTTCTGTCACCTCTCAGCAAAGTGTCTGTGCTGAACAGACAGAGCCCTCACCGCAGCAGGTCCGAAACGCAGGTCCCGCGGCTCCTTCCCCGAAGATGGTTTTGTAGGTCTGGGGGAGGCCCAGGAAGCTGTATGGTTTTCGTCGCTAAGACAATTGACAGCCCAGCCAGACTCAGGAAGGCCTAGTGGGAGGACTGGGGAGAGAGAGAGATGATTCAGCTACAAGGTTCACAGGGAGAACACGCTGTGATTTCATTTCACAGGGATTCCCTGGTGTTAAACGTGTATAGGAACATTGGGTCCACTTGGTTAAAATGTAGCATTTATGAAGGGAAGTGTAGGCAAGGAAGACAAAGGCCTGGGCCCTTACCCAGAAGGGCCTGGGATTCCCTGCGGATCACATGGGCTGTGTTCATGGAGCAGCGGGACCACCATTGCAGGGGAACAGCGGTGTCCGCGTGCTCTCAGGTCCACGTCTTCACACCACGCTCTGCTTCCCTGACAGGTCTCCCGTGATGGCCGGTGGACTGTTCGCCGTGGACCGGAAGTGGTTCTGGGAGCTGGGCGGGTACGACCCAGGCCTGGAGATCTGGGGAGGGGAGCAGTATGAGATCTCATTCAAGGTGAGCCAGCTCCTGGGAGCCCCCTTCTCCTGGCACAGCTCCTTGGCCGCTGTGCAGGCAGGTCGCCCGCCCCCTGTCTGTCTGAGCCTGGAAAGAGAAGGCCGCAGGGCTCCTAAGGCGAAGGAGTCACAGTCTCCCTTTCTTTGTGGGACTCTTGTGGGTCTCAGGTGAAGATCAGGTCTCTCTGAGGGGAAGGTTAGCCGTGTGGTCAGCCGGGACTTGCTTCTCACATCCCCAGAACCCCTGGTAAGGTGTCTCCCCAGCTCACGAGGGATGGCCAGCGGCACTATAGCCAGGCCAGAAATGGGCACATCTGTGTTCTGAGTTCTCACCAGAACGTAAACTTCACCGGGGTAGGGATCTTGGTGTGTTCCACTTACCGCTGTATCCCAAGTACTGGACGCGTGTCTGACACAGAGAAGACACTTCATACATGTGTTGGTTGAATACTCAGAGCAGGCCTGTCACTGGCCAGAGCCACCTCCTTGGGCAAGGAGTCCCCCTTCAGAAACTCACTTTGTGGAGAACAGTGAATGGAGAAAGATTTGCCCAAAGGACTTCCGAAACCCAAAATGATTCCATTCTGTGTGTTTTCTAAAGGCCCGTCTAATGATGCTCATCGGGCAATTACAGCACTACAAATGGCATTTTCTCCACACAGTGTATTTACAGAGGCCTCGGTAATGAAGCCATTTTGGAAGTCTGTCACGGGGAGGCGGGAGGAGGCTGGCTCCTGCTTCCATTTGATCCAATTATGTCCTTCACCTCGAGGGGAAGAAGACGGTGTAATGAGGAGGCTCTTTTCCCCTCTCCTGGCTTTGCGAGCGTGAGTTTCCGGATCCGTAGCAGCCCATCTGCCAGTGCATTGTCCGAGGCCCCGTGGACAGCCCTCCACGACGCCAAGCGGACAGGAGAGCTCAATCCTCTGCTGGCAACGCCTCCCTGGAATGCCAGCTGCTCCATCTCCGGCCGAGCGGGCATTTACAAAGGGCCAGGTTCCCTCTGATTTATCTCTGCTGAGTTCTCGTTTCTTCTTGGTGACGGAGAACAGAGACGGGTATGAAAGGCTGAGTGTATTTTCAGAAATTAAGACAAGTTGATACGTGCCAACAGCACTGATGAATTAATAATTTGACTCCAATTCCAGACTAGACCATCTATCCTGACGGGAAAACCTCAGAAAAGATTCCTACAGGCTCTGAGATTTCTAGAAGAGTCATTGACCCGTTTCATCCCATCCTCTCATTTCTCTTAGCCAACAGGGATTTTTTTTTTTTTCCCAAAAGGCATAGTCATGCTACCAGCACCTTATCCTCCTACCCTATTGCATTAGTCCGGACTCTTGGTTACAAGTGGCCAAAATCCTAGTTGAACTGATTTAAGCGAAAAGTCAGAATCAATTGGCCCACACACTGGAATTCCAGTAGACCCTCCAGGCCCTACTAACTCGTCCCAGTCTCCGTCCAGATTTTTTTTTCCCCAAAAGGCATAGTCACGCTACCAGCACCTTATCCTCCTACCCTATTGCATTAGTCCGGACTCTTGGTTACAAGTGGCCAAAATCCTAGTTGAACTGATTTAAGCGAAAAGTCAGAATCAATTGGCCCACACACTGGAATTCCAGTAGACCCTCCAGGCCCTACTAACTCGTCCCAGTCTCCGTCCCTCTCAGTCCCCTGCCTGAGGTTGGCTTCCTGCGCAGGCAGGCGTTCTCTCTGTAGGGAGTTCCTCTCTCCCATCTTCCTGTCCCCACGTTGTGTCTCATTGGCCTGCTGGTCCCTTACCTCCCTGAGCAATGTTCGTATTGGTCAGCTACAGTCACCTGTCCATCCTGGAACCAGGAAGATGGGCTGGCTCCCCAGAGGAAAGTCTGGCCACTGTATCCAGAAGGGGGAATAGATGTGGAGCAAGGGGAATCGTAGATGTCCACCTCCCCCAGCCCAACAGCACTGCTCACTGGCCACAAGCCCGTCTTTGGAGGCACACACTGTTCACTCATTCCTCAGTCTGGCCACTCCACACTCAGCCTTCTGGGCTCAGCTCTATAGATGGCCTCCTCTCTGCCTCACCTAGCTCCCTGGGTTCAAATACCTCGAGGTGACAAGACCCAAGGGCTGGCCTGTCTTCCCCACTGGACTCTGAGCTCCCTGGAGGCTGGGAGTGGGTCTTGTCCCATCTCTGTACCCCAGGGCCTCGCTGTAATAGTGTTTTATATTTTTATATTTTTTTTATTTTTTTTTATTTTTTTTTTTTTGCTGTAATAGTGTTTTAAATAACTGTTACTGGCATTGATTCCTCTCTGATTACACTTTTTTCACCCTGCCCTCCCCAGACTCACATCACCATCTCTGGGTAATGGTGGTGTGCTGGGAAAGGTGTCGGTGAGAAGGCAGGGCGCTGGCCTCTCGTCCCTGCTCACCATCCTCCTGGGACCTGGACCTATTGCTTGACCTCTCGGGCCCTCACGTCCCAGATGGTGCTGAGGTACTTTTCCTTCCTCCCCCACAAGGTAGGATTAAACAAGATGCTCTCGCACAGGCGCGAAGGTAGTTTGGGCTGGACGTGGCGGTGGCAGGGAGCAGAGAGGGGCCGCACAGTGTCCCCAGGAGGCCGGGTCAACTCTGAGACCCAGAGAGAGAAGTATCCACACAACAATGTGGCTGAGCAGGCATAAGAAAGATGTGGGCTTTGGGGTGATGCAAATGGGTATTTCTCTTATTGATATCAGTTTGGCAAAATCTGTTACATTTCACAGCGAGTATATTCTTTGACCCAAAATTCCATGCCCAGGAGTTTACCTGAGAGACAGTGCATAGATGAGCAAAGATTTAGGTAAAAGCTATTTATTGAAGCGTTACTTACAATACAGGAAGATTGAAAATGACCCAAATGTGCGTCCTCGGGGGATAATAAGGTAGTGCATATCCCAACAGTGGAATACCCTACAGATGGTGACTTAGGTGGTTCCGCTGTTACTTTAAGGTGGTGCACAAGCAGCAAGCATTCGGGAAAAACCGTACTTAGATTTTGAAATGTGATCTTTTCTTGGGCTGGTGGTACGCTGTACAATACTCTCCATGGTGCTGGGCAGCGGCAGCCACAGCTCCCGTCAGCCACGCACACGGTCACCAGGGTGCACAACCAAATCTCCACAGTGGATCCACTGTGTTAGGTGATCTTGCCCACCTATAGGCTAAAGAAGGAAAACATGTAGGTTTTCAGCTTTCTGGGCCCACCTCCTCTCCATGTATATCCCAGCACTTGGGCCATTTGCAAGTTCAGGGCTAGGATTTCCCACGAGAAGGGAGTCCAGGGAGAGCAGAGCCCTGAGTGTGTCTCCGCAGGGCGGCTCTGGGGGCAGAGATGTGCACCGGCCCTGGGAAAGAAGGAGCGGGGAGGTGGTCTGAGAGTGCAAGGGGCAGACTGGGAGAGCAAGGTGGTGGTGGAAAGGCCCGGGAGGGGCAAGGGAGAGCCATGTTCCACCTGAGAGGGAACCCATCACATCCGAGTAGCTTAGAGGCCTCGGATGAGTGCTGTTTGCATTATTTGACACCAATATCCTTACCAAAAGCCAAACCGGTCCCAGACTGGGCAGATTTAAACAACAGAAACACTCAGGTTTCTTTTTCATAAAACTCACTGCATCCTCAAGAGGATGAAGTGGCCGAACCGGTTTGGCTCAGTGGATAGAGCATCGGCCTGCAGACTCAAGGGTCCCGGGTTCGATTCCGGTCAAGGGCATGTGCCTTGGTTGCGGGCACATCCTCACTGGGGGGCGTGCAGGAGGCGGCTGATCGATGTTTCTCTCTCATCGATGTTTCTGACTCTCTATCCCTCTCCCCTCCTCTCTGTAAAAAATCAATAAAATATATTTAAAAAAAAAAAAAGAGGATGAAGTGAAAATCGGGTGTGTGAAAGCAGGTAGATGCACCCAGAACCTGGTCAAGGGTGGCATGGAGACTGGTGCCCTAAGTGGTTAGGGGACGAGGCCAGGGTCCCTTAGCTAGACAGGGGCAGAGCCAGAGCTGAGTGAGTGACCGAGGACCTTGATTGCCAGCCTGGGGTGACCCCTGTGTTCCGCAGGCACTGCGAGTGCTGATAGGGTTTCTGCGGAAGACCATGAGGGTCAGGATCCGGCTTTAGAAAGATTAAACCTCTCCCTGGAGGCCTCCGATCTGCCTGGTTCTGAGGACCCAACCCCACTTCCACCCGGGGCTCTGCCATGCGTGAGCTCAGGAACCGTGGGGAAGGCACTGCCCCCTTCTGGGCCTCGGTTTTCTCACGTGTCACGGTGTGATGGTCACCCCCGCCCCCCCCCGGGTGGTTATGCATGTGCTGTCTTTCCAAATACAAGTCAAAACCTAAAGGATCCTGGAGCTTTACTGAATTTGTTTATTAAATATTTAATTTATTAATTTAGATACACATATGCTTAAAGCCATATTACATAAAATAATGCATTAATTTAGAAGTAAATTCAAATGGTTTTTACTAGTAAATATAGTAAAATTGTCTTCCCTATACTTTTTACCAACAATATCCAGTAACCATTATAAACAGTCCAAACTAGCATGAGTGAGGTCCCAAAACAGTATCTTGACATTCAAAACAAACTGATATATTCACAATCATAGGAACTCCGGAAGACATGGGTCTAACGCCTTCCTTTTCTGAGGGGAGCTGCGGGCATACGTGCGGTGCCAGTCACTGCCTCCCAGTTCTCTGTGCTTCAGAGTTACCTCCTTTCAGCCTCATCGCACCCTGGGAGGTGGGCACAGTAATTCATCCTGTTTTGGAGATGAGGAAACCAAGACCCACGGAACTTGCCCGGATTGTGAGTCTGGGGAGGAACTTGGACTCGATCTCACTGAGTTCTGTCTAACTCTGGAGCCCAAGCTCCTGACGCTGCCCTCTGTTCCTCCTACGCACACAGATCATGCAGACTAGTCGGTGGCGATTATTACCTTCTGTTTCCCCAAAGGGCAGCTGGATGGATTTGAACTCCATAGGGGTCCGCGGCCAAGATGCCAACAGCAGAAGATGGGGCTGGCTGCCGCCTTCCCCCAGTCCCGTCCCTGGTTGGCGTCCAGGCAGCCGTTCCCTTGACAGAGAGGTTTCTCCCCAGCCCCTGCCCAGCCCGACCAGCCCTGCCTTCCACCGCCCTCTCTCCAGGCCCCATTGTGTCTTCCTGATGCGCATCGCCACTCGTCTCTCCTCCGCCACTCGTCTCTCCTCCTCCGTTTAGGAGATAAGAGCAAGCAATTGTCTTTTATAAACACTGTCATGAAGCCTGTCATCACACAAAAGAAGTTTGCTAACAAAATAAATCAAAGCAGCAATGGCAGTGAATGGGGAGCAAGCTTCTACAGTGAGATTTGTACTCGTCTTGTGGCATGATGCTTCCAGTGAGAAGGCTGTTCCCGGCACCCAGCTGACGGGCTCCGTGGAAACCGTCTGGTGAAGAAGGCTCCCAGAGCAGGCAGGGATGGGGTGGGGGCTGGGACAGGGCAGTGAGGGAGGGAGGCAAGAAAGCTGACAGCAGAGAGGGGCTGCACAAATGTCATCTCAATGGCCTGTAAATACAAGTATGAAGGGGTCCAGTCAAACATGCTGGCTGTGGCCAGCACTGCGACTCCCCCTTCTCTGCCACCAGCTGGACTCCTGTGCCCATGTGTTACCAGGGGCAGGGGAACACACTTGCGAGCCTGGTCCCCATGGTGTCCTGTGACTGTGCCCCCACTCCCACCCCATCATTCTCCTGGTCAGTTGCAGGTTCTGCCACCAACTCAGAAAAACTACTTATTCTCTCTGAGCCTCAGTTTCTCCATCTAGAAACTGGACCATAGGACAAAAGATGTGATGGCGTTGGGCCAAAGGGCAAACTCCAGCTGAGAACAGGGCGGCTCCCAGGTGACTGCCTGGCGTGAGGTCACGAGCTGGCATTGGGACGACAGAGTGTTGTGTGCTGTGGTGTTTGTGCGTCTTGAGTGGCTGCTGCCCAGCTGTGAGGGAAGCGGGCAGAGACCTAAAGGTACACAGGCAGGTGGCCAGCCCTGACCAGCACCCCAGCCCAGGGCGAGTCGTGACACTGTTCCTTGGCTGCAGCTTTTATCATGTCTTTGGAAGGAGGAACCCCTCCAGTCTTGGGGTCCCGCCTTATAACCAGTGAGCACCGCGGTGTTGATGCTGTGTAAGGGGCGTTCCGGGTGGCAGAGCGAGGTCTGAAGGGTTGGGTGTGCCTCGCACGGCCCTTCTCAGCTGCTCAGGTGCGCACAGGCCTCTCAGGAGTAGCAGCATCTTTACTGAACAGGTGTGTCTGACTCTCTAAAGGCAGTTCCCACCCTGAGCAGCCTCAGTGGCTCGTGTCCAGGGCAGGGAAGCCGTGAAGTAAAGCCATCGTCCAAAGCCAGGACTCCTCTGGGCTCCGGACATTCCTCTCAGCAGATCAAGGTCACCCCAGTCCCTCAGGAACCTTCAGGCTGGTGGCCAGCACGGTCAGGGCCAAAGAAACCCGAGGTCACAGCAAAGGACAGGATTTGGAAATTGATCATCTCTGCATTAGGGAAGGTTCCTTGCCAGGCAGAGCGGGGAGACAGCCTCGTTAGCTAATGCGAGTTTAATATGGAGTTGAGAGAGCTGGACGCCAGCCTAGCCAACTGCCCAGGGGACGTTCAAAAATAGAACGAAGGAAGGTGTCCCCCACCTGCTCGGGGCGCTCCACCTCCCAAAAGGCAGGGGCCGCCAGGCAGCGTCCTGGGCAATCTCCTCCGGACAAAAGCATCCCTTCGACATCCATCACTTTGTGTAAAAGAAGAGTTATTGTTATGGGATCCTGGCGCCTGATCAATATCTCCTGCTTTGCAAATAAACTTCTTGGCTTGGCCTTGACATTAATCTCCCATCAGGAGCCCATTATCTCAAGACCAATGTTCTGTTCTATTGACTTGCTCGGGGTTTTTTTTTCTCCCCCAAGATCAGAATATAATTGCACTTCCCCAGGCAGCACGTCCACTAATTGTAGCCCCATACACACATAGCCCTATGTGGAAAGCCCAGGACAGGGCACATCTGGGTGGATAGAGAGCGCGGCTGGCGGGGGCCCAAGGGGACCAAGAACCCTCAGGCATGAGGTAGAAGGAAGAATGGCCCTTCTAGACTTAATCAAGACATTAGACAAACCCCCAGTATCCCACTGAGCAGTTCAAGCTGAAAATGGTCCTTTGGCAGAGCTGATGGTGTAGGTGTTCCCACCCCTACTCCTCATTCCACAAGAGAAGGCATACAGTGACAAGATTAATAATAATGTCCCCAGTCCAGCTGCGTCCCACCATCGCCACAGCCTCCAAACCATGACCGAAACCGAGAACCACAAACCAAAGCCTTGACGGCCTCATACCTGCAAGGGCCTCCCAGGCCTTCCCTCCCCAAGCCTGCACCCTCCCGGCCATTCTGTTTGTGAAATAGAAATGGGATTGTGTTGTCTCCCTCACTGACGACTTTCAGCCCAGACTTCCTATTGTGCCCTTTAGGACCCTTATGCTTGTCCCCACGCTTGTCTTTGACCCCCCCCTCCCATCACTTCTCCCTCTGCTCCAGCCTCTGGCTTGCTTTGTTGAGTGATTATGCCAAACCTGGCCCTACCCCAGGGCCTTTGCATTTGCTCTTCCCGCCACCTGTTCACTCACCCCTCAGATCTTTATGTTACTTTTACCTTCTCATCATTTAAGTCTTGCCTCAAATATCCCCTGCTAGATGAGGCTTTCCCTGACAGGTGGAGGTGACAGCAGCCCGCACATCCATTCAGTGAGTCTATCCATGACCTCATTTTGGTTTCCTTACAGCACATATCACCACCTGAAACTGTCTCCCTGTGTTAGTTACCTACTGCCACGGGGAGAAAAGAACCCCCAAAACATAGCATCTTACAGTGGTTATTACTGAAAGTTTGTGTGGGGCAGGGATTTGGGAATGGCTTAGCAGGGCAGTGCTGCCTGGGGCTGTCTTAAAGTTGGAGTCAGAGTGTCAGCCAGGGCTGCCGTCATCTGAAGGCTTGACTGGGGCTGGAGGATCAGCTTCTAAGACCGCTCATTCATTGACTGGCAAGTTAGCACTATTAGCAGAAGGCCTCAACTCCTCAGCCCTGGGCCTCACCATAGCGCTGCTTGAGTGCCCCAAAGCAAGTGTTCCCAGGGAGTAAGGTGGAAGCCTTATCATTTCTGCAGTGTCCTGTTGGTTACACGGCTCAGTCCTCATGTGACCATTCTGGGAGAGAACTAACATGGGGTATAAATACCAGGAGGTGAGGGGGTCATTGGGAGGGCCATCTTATGCACGTAACAGATACTCCATAAATATTAGTCAAACGTATGAATGAGCCATGTAACACTGCTTGACTGTGTGCCAGTCTGTGCTAAGCACTTTCCATGCACTGTGTCATCCCCAGGCCCATCCTATTTCATCCTTTGCAGATGAGGAAACTGAGCCTCAGAGGAGTTAGTACCTCGATGGAAGTCGCAAAGCTGATAAGTGGCTGAGGCAGGATCTGAACCCAGGACTGTTAAGGAGGGTCTGGTTAGGCTGGGCCCCTCAGTGGGAGTGAGTCAGCATCGATTGTACTTAAACATTCTCAAATCACAGCGAAACCCAGGAGCTCTTTGTGATGCCAAGCATGGAGGGAGAACCATCAGGCCCCTCAGCTGCATGGCTTAGCGGCCAGACTGCGGAGAGGCGAGGGCAGGGCACCTGCTGCCACGGCTCAGGGTGACCCAGCGAAGAGGCAGACATCCAGGAGCAGCCTCCAGACCCGTGTGCCGGCCTGTCCCCTTGCGTCCCTGCCCCAGGCCTCACTAAGCAGTCACCTCGTCCTCCCCACTGAGCCCCCGTGCCGGACCTTGGAATTCCTCACAACAGCATACGGCATCCACGTCGTTTAGAGTCCAGATTCCAGAGTCGGCGAAAGCCGAGTGTGAATTCTGGCACCACCTCTTGCTCACCCTTGACCTTAGACACGCCTCTAGCTTCTCTGAGCCTCGGTGTCCTCATCTGTGAAAGGGCTCTGTCCCCACCCCGTGTTCCAGGTGTCCTGACGAGGCTGCAGTGCAGTTGTGCACACGAAGCTCGTCGTGTCGTGTCGGCCACGAGGAAGCACTCGGTGCCGTCAGCTGTTTGTGCTGCTGTTACACGCTGCTTTCCTCTGTCCCTAGTTCTATAAACGGGGCTTTCGTGGACAATCCAAGCTGATGCTTTCGATGAATTGGAGGCAGGAATATCATCTTCTCTCTCCCTCTCACCCTGCAGGTGTGGATGTGTGGGGGCCGCATGGAGGACATCCCCTGCTCCAGGGTGGGCCACATCTACAGGAAGTATGTGCCCTACAAAGTCCCCGCCGGTGTCAGCCTGGCCCGGGTAAGCTGGCGGCTTCGCTGGAGCAGGTGGGAGGGAGTGGCGTAGGCCCATTAGCAGAGCAGAGACCCTCTAAGGCACCTGGGGCTGCAGGCCAGATAATCCCTAGGTGTGCCCCCACCGCTCTCCAGGAGAAATCCGATGTTTACCCGCTTAGTACCTACCTATGTGACTTTGGAAGGCTTACTTGACTCCTCTGAGCCTGTTTCTGCTTTTGTGTAAAGGAAGCTAATTTTTCCCAACTCTTACTTAGTATTGCCAGGAGAATTAAGGCGATGGCACCATTTCCCAAAGTGTGATGGACAAGATGATTTGAGGCGGTAGATACAGGAACATTTTATTTCCATGTGTTTAAATTAATGTGGATGAGAAATTAACATGTATTCGTGTAGCAAACTTGTGATGTCACAGACATCGCAACTTAGAGTAAAGCTAAAGCGGGTGCAAAGTTAAACATGTTAGGTAAATGTTACTGCAGGCTGAGTGGTGTGTTTGGAGACACGTACTTAAAACTTCCTGGCACAGGGGCCGTTAATAAAGGTCAATGTCTTTCTCTTCTCCCCACTCCTCCCCACTTTTATTGCCAAAGATTCTGTCAAACTATTTCATGCCTTCCAGTGGGTTGTATTAATCATTGCTTGAACCTCATTGGCCACTGGCGATCAATGTAAATCCGTTGGCCAGAGGTTTGGGGGTTTTCGGGGGAGGGGTATGAGTGATAGTTCACTAAACTTTAATACATTTTAAAATATTAAGTGTCTTGAGAAAACGAATCAAGGTGACCACAAAAGAAAACTGAAGAGAATGGGGTGTCCCCCGAGGGTAAAAAGGGTCACGGAGATTTGGGGGAGCTGGAAAGGTCACCGGCACAGCTTTGCTCTTGGACAGCCCACCCCACTCCTCCACCGGACAGCGCCCCCTTGTAAGCCTGATTGGCATCAGCCTCCTCTGCCCAGGCCGCTGCCGCCCCCTTCCTGATCACCAGACAGTCGAGGATGTGCAGGATTGTATCCCCTGGGCCCAGGGAGAGCCTCTGTCCTGCATTTTACAAGAAGACAGATGCCCAGCGCAAGGGTCCCACCCATTCCTCCCCCACCCCCCCCCCCCACCACACACACACACACACAC